CAATGAAGGCTCGATAATCAGCTCACGGCATATAGGTGTAAGCAGGGGTAAAGTGCTATTTTTATAGGTGGTGTGTGGACCTCACATAGGGGGGTCCGGGGGCAAGGTGCCCCGGGAAGATTTCTAAATATTGAAGTTAAAAGCATCAATCTGGTGCACTTTGAGAGCAAAATGAAGAGATCTTATGGATATATCTCTCAACATCCATTTGAAACAGAACTGTAAACAGATTTACTATTTCTTTATGGATATTTTACAAATCACTCCCCTTTTAAACTTTATTCATTTTTTAATGTCATATAGTATTTCATACTTATTTTTAATTTATTCTCTTATTTTTTATAACTATAATGATCATATAAACGTGTGCCTCGGAAATAATTGTTTACATTAATGGTGACCAAAACGTTTGAGACCCACTGAGATAACACTGAGAGAGTCCTTTAGCTCACTGAGTCTCTCAGTCTGACAGGAGAGGACTCTCCTCCACTTTGTTGTTGAAAAAACTCCTTATATCCGTTAGCGATCTCCAGTACCGGTGCACTCTCTCTCTCGCGCACGCACACAAAATGGCTCGTTCCACACACACACAGAGCCGAGCTTTAATGAAACACAGAGACCCAGACGTAATAGTACTGTACTGTATCATACTATTTTCGAATCAATAATTTTTCAAAATATGATTTACATTTTTTTTTTTTTTTATCTTTTCTCCTGGTCTCTCGCGCCCCCCACTTTGAGAACCACTGTCCTAATGTAATGTATAACTCCTATGAAAATGTTCAAAAAGTGCTCAAACTTCACATGTGCGCTACAGTCCAGCCATGAAGACATCTACGGGAAAGTTTTGAGATTTCTTCAAATGCCGTTGCCATGGCAACACAAAGCTCACCATGAAACACGGTTTTCTCATAACTTCAGTGAAAATGCTCCAAACGGCCCAAAACTTCACAGGTTTGGTAACGATTCAGCCATCAACGCATCTAATCGTATTATGGGGTGTCATCAAATGCCGTTGCCATGGCGACAGATAATTCACCATCAAGTTAGTTCAAAAGTTTGCAGTTGAAATATTCTGCTGCTTTCCCAAGCCTTTTTACTTTATTTTCTCATCTTAATACAAATTATTCACTACTACTTACATCTGATATTTAACTCCTTCAGCATATTTTCAGCTGCAGAAACCATTCAACTATTACATTATTCAGCTATTTCAGGACATCAAGGCTATACATGTTGTTTATACCTTTATTAAACCTTTTCCTTTAAATATTAAGCTTTTTTCTGCATTTGTTTAGCTTAAAGCAGCTACCATTCAACTAATAACATATTCAGCTTTTTTCTGCATTTTCAGCCACAAATGTTCAGTTTACAGCATTCACATGCATTTTCTGCAGGAAATGCATTTTCTAGTTATAAACGTTAGTCCTGAACATCACTGTGTATATCACCATTCAAACATCTTTTAAAAGTTTAACAAACCCCACACAGCTCAGTAAAGACTGAGATGTTGACTTTATTTGATCATTTCAGTAAAAACTAACGTTCATATTTCTCTTTTTGATTATAATACTGATGAACGTTCAAAACAAAGCACTTTGGCAACTTACCATATGTTTTAAAATGCTTAATAAGCACCGTAACTTTCATGATATCATTTCTCGGTCATAATCGGTTATTTCCGACTGTTGTGTAACGGCAAATGCTGCGGCTGCAAGGCATTGTGGGGCAGCACTTTCTCCTCTCGTCAAGGGAGGTCCAGTGGTTCCTAAGCTAAAGGAGGTTATAAAGGAGTTTGAAACCTTTCGTATCTAGAGAATTCGAACGGCACTTATCATGGCTGCCACTGAGGCAGAGATGTTCACAAGTCTTTTTTTGCAAGTCCAAGTCAAGTCTCAAGTCTTTGGTCACGAGTCCAAGTCAAGTCTCAAGTCTTTGTGGGGTGAGACTTGATCAAGTCTCAAGTCTTTGGTCACGAGTCCAAGTCAAGTCTCAAGTCTCTAAAAAATAAAAGTCTCATGTCTCTTCTGGTTGTAATAAGCCTTCTATTGTCTGCTACTATCCAGTCTGTTAAGAATACTGCACAGCTTTATCTAAGAAATTCAAAGCATTTACTGTATTATTATCACTCCTATATCTATTAGCATACAGTATCCGTACTGATTAGTTGTTTGTTATATGATCACTTTAAACAGGCTATTGCAATGTAATATGAGGAAAAACATCACAGTTTAGCTAAATGCAAACAACTTATAAGCAAAACACTTCAGAATCAAAAATCAGTATCACAAATACTTTATTAATCCCCCGCAGGGAAACTGTGTTAAAAGTAGGGTTGAGAACCGAAACTCGGTTCCAGATGAGAACCGATAAGAAAATGCCGGGTAGGCCTACCGATACAAAATACACAATTTCGGTTCTGCTTAACGGTTCCACCGGGTCCGTCTGCACCGCGGTGACCCGGTGGAATACAGCCAGGGTAAGGGAGGACTGGCCATCTGTGTGTTCTGGAGAATCACAGAACGGCCGGCTCGGTACGCTGACGGCCGGCACCGCCCTTCATTTTTTTAAACGGCATCATGTAAGTTGCGGCGACAGAGGTCCACAGTTTCCCCGCAGCGAGGCGGCCTGCCCTCCCATAGACAGTTCACGAGCTCAGTCACTTCATAACACCAAAGCGGTAAACGGTCTAAAGCTCCACTACACTAAAAAAGAAAAAGACAAGGCACAGTGTAATGCTTGTTAATAGCTTGCCACAGGCATAGCTCAGTTAAAAATAAAGCACAGCTATTGTGCAATACATTTGTATTGCATGTATATTTTTTATTTGTAAAAATGTCAGTTAAAGCTTAAAAAAATAAAGATATTTTTGTTATCTAAACGTTTGACTTCTTTCTTTTACAATGTTGGAATCAAAACGGGGAATCGATAAGAACCGGAATCGATAAGCAGAACCGGAATTGGAATCGATACATTTCAAACGATACCCATCCCTAGTTAAAAGTACTTAAAAGTAAACATTTGTTCTGTGCCATTTGCAACTAAAAAACTATTGCTGCAATATTATCTGAAATATACTGAACTGGTGATATTAAAACATGACCTGTTCCAAAAGAGATATCTACCATTAACACCATTTACCAGCCAAATGCTGGTAAATCATGCAAGTGGCTGGTACTGTATGTTGCACGCACCAGCCAAAAATAACAATGGCAATCTATTGAGTGGCTGGTAACATTTCAACATTCACTAGGCTAGCCATTTGGCCAGTGGACAAAAAGGTTAAAATGTGACCTCTGCAACCGTATTGTTTAATTACACTGTGTCTCTAATTACATCTTTTAAGTCTACTATAAATAAATATATTCCTCTATCCTCTCACTCAAACCCAGTGTAATGGTAACCTGATAAACCTGTAACATTAACGTTACGTGGTCAACAATAAACCTGTAACCTGCCTATAAACCGACAGATGTATTTATGTATGTAACTATGTATTTTTCTACGTTTAACGTTAGCCAGTAGATGGTGGCAGCGGAACGTAATGATTAACGGTACCGACCTTTTTTATGTCATGTCAAGAGTTGGATGTCAACGCCACTCAACGCAAACAAGTGTGACAAGCAAACATTCACTCATATTTTCAAATATTCAGTTACAAAGCTAGTAGCAAGCTAAGTTAACATTACATAGCTGATGCTGAGCTAAACATGTTTGCTAACCGTCCATATGCGTTAATGTGACTGACCTCTCCGGGTGAGTTTTCAAGTGCCTGATGAAATTTGACGTTGTTGCACCAGCATCCTTGATTTTAATATTGCAGACTTTGCAGTGTGCGCTCCTTTTGTTGGTGCCGCCGGCGTTTTGTTCGAAGTTTTTATAGTTTAAACTAATTACAAGCGGTACAGCTGCAGGTGTGCCGCCGGTCGCCATGGTGTTACCATGATGTTAATGTTAATGTTAAAGGTGGGGTAGGTAAGTTTGAGAAACCGGCTCGAGATACACTTTTTGTTATATTCCATGGAATGCTCTTAACATCCCGATAGCCGGCCCGGCTAATATAACTGGATGGCCTACCTGCCTGTCAGCCTTCCATCGGGGCACAAACTTATCTCGTGCCCTCATTGGTCATGTGCGCGTTCGTGTGTGTTGGAGGAGGGGCTCTGTGAGGAAGTGGCAGATTTTCTCCGGTTGTGTATTTTCAAATTCTAGCGATCTCGAGCCGGTTTCTCAAACTTACCGACCCCACCTTTAATAAGCCAAAAATAGAAAACACAATGATTGTTCACGAGTCCCAAAACACGAGTCCAAGTCGAGTCCGAAGTCTTTTGAGCAAGAGTCCAAGTCAAGTCTGAAGTCTCTGTGTGTGCGACTTAAGTGCGACTCGAGTCCCCATCTCTGCACTGAGGGACTTCCGGGTAATTTCACGCCATTAGGAAGGTTCCTAAGCTAAATGGACTATTCGACTTCAGCCCTATAGTCTATAGTGGATGAGGCCTCTGTTGTAGAAAGGTATCGAAATGCTGCTGTCACTGTATCGCTAAAGAGAAGTCCTCCACTCCTTCACCAAAAACCACCCAGTGGTACTTTATCTGTCCGCGGTTGTTGTAAGCAGTGGCGAAATGACTGGCTTCACATTCCCTGTGTAAATATGACAGCGTTAAAGAGTCTTAAACAATACATGTAATGAAATGACAAAGTAAGAGAAACACGATGGACGTTAGCTTTAACCGGGGACACAGACTTTGACGGATAGCAGAATAAGCTGAAATACTGGTACAGACTTGCTATACATCGCCAACAAATTAACAGCACCTGGACTGTAAGCAGGAAGAGATAAACTTTGTATACAATTGTTATGCACATTTGAAGTTCTGGTTTTTAAACTTAGAGTGAGCATTTTCAAGGATTTGAGGATTTGAGGATTGTCTTGCTCCATTGGCTGTAAATTCTCTAAGGTTTGTTGTGTTTCCTAAAGGCGGAAGTGACGACATGCAATGTGGCTTTTATTTTATTTTGATTTTTTTCTTCAAAATACACGAGTCGTTATTGTCATCCATCAATATAAAAGGCAGTACAGTACATTCATTGATAAAACTGTTCCCCTGGTGCCAAACAAAACAATGAACAAATGTACATAAGTTGCAAACGACAAAATGTAAATACTTCAGAACATATTCAAAGGTTAGACAGAATAATTGCCCCAGAGGAGATCTGCCTTTGGCGTGTTGAGTCGGTGCTTCTTCGCTCTGCAAAACAAGTAAAGATTACCAACTGCACTGCACATCCAGATCGACTACATTTGTTCAGACTCGGTCACTTACCCTTTTTTACACCTGCAGGTCTTGAGTAGCTCTGACCTGGAGGATGCACACACTGGCCTCTGCAGGAACCATCTGCCTGGCTGCTTGGGTCACAAATCACTGCATCACAGTGGACATAGATCTGTGGACAGAGAGGATGATTTATTACACATGGCTACATGCAGCAGTGGCTAAAAGACTCCAGATTTGGATTTACAAGTCTTACCTGGTCTTTCAGAACCTTGTCATCTTTAGTGAAAGTGAACATCTTTACAGAGAAGCGCTTGATGTGGGATGGGACTAAAACTCTGGAGTCACTCACAACGGGATGGAAAATTGTTGCATAGCTGTCATTGCGATTCTCACAGCTAGTGAAGGAATTTGAAAGTTAATAAAGCAGCAGTTAAACAAATGAAATGAGAGTAGTTAGTAGTTAGTTTTGCACAACATTACCTGTCCACAATGATGTCCCAGCTTGGCAGAGATGTCCTATCTTCATAAAGGGTTGCCCAACAGTTCTCAGCAATGAGTTCCAAGTGCGGGTCGGTAGAATGCATCAGCTCCACCTCAAAATACAGAGGCTGCTGCAGATATTTCACCACTGGATAATCCTCTGCTTGGTAGAAGAGCTCGTAGGATGGATCTGCAGGAGAAGAGTCCCGTTAGAGACAGGAGGCCTGGACATTGACAGTTTCATTTCATTTAAAACCTTTATTTAATCAGATCAGTCCCTTGAGATCACAGATCTCTTTTCAAGGGAGACCTGCAAACAGTGTTTTGCATGCATGAACAAGATGTTGTAAAATTCCGCCATGCCTTGGGAAAGCCTCATCTGCACCATCAGCTGCCCGGTGCCGATCTCTGCAGCCGGCTCATAGGTTCTTGGTTTAGCGCTGAAGGCAACAGTCTGAGTCTCATTGACCACATAGAAGCAGGAAATGGTTTGCCTATTAGGGGAAACAAAATATATATAAATGCATACATTGAAGGTGTTCAGCTCCAATTATACAGAATCAAATATTTTACCTGTAATCAGGATCAACTGGTGATGTGTTGGCTGCTCCTTGGGCGTTGTTGTAAGACAGGCGGATCTCATTTCCATACATCATGTAGTCGTCAAAGAACTATTTAACAACACAAAAAAAAACATTAACATTTGACAAAAAACCCTTTTGATATTTAAATGTGATTCACACTCACCGTTCTGGTGGTTCCACAGGTATCCACACTGAAGGAGAAATATGCAAAGCGATCGTCGCTGAACTGTGGTGTGCAGGACTGGTCCTTTAGCGTCAGCTGACTTGGCTTCAGATTACGAGTCGATTCAACCTTCACAGCCACAGCGGTCATTGTGCCATTGGGGTGGCACTCTGGAGAAGAAGCATGCAATGTGTAAAGCAACAAAAATCCATCAATTAAAGCAGCAAATATACTTACATGTTCCATCTTACCTGTTGCTTTTAAGGGGAAGTAGCAAGCCAGATATAGATCAGCAAGCACCCAGTCATTTGCACGATCCAACAGAATCAGGTCAATTCTGGATTTGACTGATTCTGCAGTGAGCAGCTGTGGAAAAGAAAGTAAAGTTAGCCAATGCAGAAGATCTATGGTGGGATTTTGTAGTTTTGACATACCTCAAAAACAGCGTCCTTGGCAGTGTATGGCAGAATGAGGCTGAGGTGTGTGCTGTTCTCATAGAAATTGTAGTCTTGAGCCATCTCAGCCGTCAGCTCTCGAGGTCCAACGATAGCCTTGAAATTAGAGCCGTGACTCCCGAACTTCACGCTGATGTAAAACTGGTTCTGGTCACAGGTGCCAGCCATGATGGGTAACACTAGAGCAGCAAAACATGCATTATCCATTTGATGGTGTAGCTTTTACTCCAATATGTTTTATTTAATTTTAGAAAACACAATTTGCATAAATAATTGTCAAAAGCAAATTCAATATGATCTCACCAACATCCTGCAGAGAGGCCTGCAGGTCGACCGGGAGAGCAAAAGGAGTTTCTTCAGGCAGGATGATCAACCCAAAGATCAGAGGGAGGAAGTAGGATGTAACCAAGCGTTCAGGATTCTGCAAAAATGAAATAAAAGCTCAGCAACACTGAAAATATGCTGGTACAAAGTGATATTTTGAATCTATAATGTCATACATGTTTTAAGACAACATCGGCATCAAAGGGCACTTGAAGAGAGAAGCTCTTGGAGCCATTAGCCAAGCTGTGTTCCTGGACTGTGAAGCCTTTGGCATTGCTCTCCTCAACAGTGAGGACCCCGGTGGAGAAGGTGATGTTCCTCAGCTCAACGTCATGGAGGAAGGTTCCCAAGAGAACGCTGAACACCCGAGTCTCTGGGACAGTGTCTGAGGAACAGAAAGTGGCAGGTTTACAAATTCTAAACCTGTCTGAACGTTGATGGAGAATAATTGAGTAGTTGGATTGAGTGCGACTTTAATTTTTTTTTTTTAAAAAGGCAGTCTTTGTAAGCAAAGGTGGATTATACTGTACTTGGCTCTCTTGAATTCATATCCAAACACACCATTTTTTTTAAACTGACCACTGAAACAGGCCTTGAGTGTTTTGTGTCAGACTTATTGATCCAAAGCTAGGTAAAAGTCTAACCTCTTTTGGTCACCAACATTTTTTCATACCTACTAGAAAATGTGACTTACCATCCTGGATTTGGGGAGATTGAGGCATCAGAGGGGTCATGATGGGGAACAAAACCTTGTATCTGGTATTATCTTGGGTGTCATCTGTCCTCCACAGTACCTCAAGCATGGGCTCCACAAAGTAGGTGATGTGGTACTGGTAATCTGGGGCATGGCTCTGCAATAATTCATGACATTTCAATAAAACATGCCAATGCACTAGTGACTCTGCATTTCTAATTTACAGATTTCCCCAACCTTGTAGTAACCATCAGGCGAGCCCACTGGGATCTCGACGACGATGTGGAAGTCAGTGGTGCTCAGTGTGTACCCCCGTGCGGCCATCTGAGATCTATCAAGCCTCTGCCCATTGATTCCCATGTGCATTTCTGAGACTGTAATTCTGCCATCCAACAGAGGAGTCACACGGCAAGGTACGTGCCAAGAGATCATATCCTCGGTGAAGAGGACGCCACCTGTTAATGACAAAATGGAGCTGTTGAGGTTAACTGTGCAACAATTAAGCTTACTGTGAAGGAAATATGTTGCTCAGGACTCACCTTTGGGACACGCAGCTACCAAGTTCACTACATTCAGACCCTGTGGTGCCATGTAGTAGGCGCTCACCCTGAAAACCTCCATGGGGACTCCAGCCACCTAAAGAGAGGAGAGTTTAATATAATTGACAAGGAGGGAAAGGAAAGAAACACTGTATAGGTGTGTGTTGCTTACATCCTCTGAATAAGTCTCTGCCGTATTGTACGGGCTTCGCATAACCAGGCGACTAG